GTTTGAGAAGAGGCTTTTTTAATAATTTTTTGATTTTTTAGCTAAAATATGATGTAAAAAAAGGGTAAACTACCAATAGGTCCTAATAGTTAGACTTAATTCCCATGAAATCCTATTAAAAAAAATCTTGGTAAAATTGTCACTAAAAATAATTTTTGTGATAATTTTTTAGATACGTTGCTAAAAATTGACAATTAATAACTTTTTTTTGTCATGATTTTTATAAATTGTTGCTAAAATTTACAATTAGTGACTTTTTTTATGATAAATTTTTCTCATAGGACCTATTAGACAACAAGTCCACTTATTTGGACCTACATGTAAGCATCACTAAAAAAAATTAGTATGTTTTGGATGTCTTTTTGATTTTTTACGAAAAGATGTTCAAAAAGTAGAGGGAAGATAATTTTGACTTTTTGGTATAGATTGTTAGTTTTTTAATAACTTTTTAGCTAAAATCACCACTTGCCAAACGAGATCTTAGAATAGCTAAAAAAAACAAAAAAAATAACTAAAAAAATATATTGCCAAACCACGACTTACTTGGAATGACTGTTGAAAGGGAATTTTCTATTTGATAATGTCAGGTGCTAATTTTCATTATTTTATTATTGGAATTTAATTTAAAATATAATAAATTAATTGAGACTAAAAATGTCATTCCACATGAATGACACCTATAACACATATTTTTTAAATAGGAAGTGTAATTTTTTACATTTATTCTTGATTATAGCAGGCATCTATTGATGAAATTTGGTTGGGAGGCCAAATTGAAAGACCTTTTTTATATATTGGGGATTAAATTAACACAATCTAAATATTAAGAACTAAAATGACACAAATTTCATACATTGAGAACAAAAAAAAGATGATTTTACACCAACTTTTGAGAAATTTCACTGTGCTTCTTTTTGCTAGGTTAGCAATGGTTCCACAATTCTCTAAGAGTAATATGGTAAATTTCTCACCACAAAATAAAATTTAAAAAGACTCCCAAAACTTTCTTAGTAACATTTTTTTAACAATTACCAAATACATCTAACAAAGTAAATTGGCAAAACTTTCCTGAATATGCCATTGCAGAATGAAGTATGTGTCTTTAATTTAACAATTTGAACAAAAAAAAAAAAAATCTGCTGCTGCATATGACTTTTTACACAACAATGTTGAAAGAGTTCCCCACAAAAGTTGGTTAAGAAGATGCACTCTATTGACAAATATAGAACTAGATTGGCCCCCATATGAAAACAGTTGGTTCTTCTACAACCTTACACCAAATTTTTATTTTTTATTTTTTATTAAATATTGGCAATGAGGGTGCGTTTGTTTGGACGGACTGGATGAGGGGGGATTGTAATCCATCGGACTATTAGTCCTCGGATACATTGTCCCGGGACTATTTGGTTAGACTAAATTTGTATCCTATGTTTGTTTAGTTATGTGATTAGATGTCTGGATTGGACTATTTTTAGTTATTTAATATTTGTTTTGGATATTATGGAGAAAGATAAATGCTCAAATGACTATTTTATCATTTTCAATTATTTACTAAGTAATAGCAATATTAAACATAACTTTAATATTTTAATTATTTTTAACTAGATTAAATAAAAATTTGTTTTATTTTATTTTTTTCACAATATTTTAATTATTTTAATTTATTATTTTCAATTAAATTAAATTTATAATTTATATTTTTTATTTAATATATAATTTTAAATTAACGACAATAAAAAATAATTTTATTTAATATATAAATTAAATTTTCAACAACACTAAAAAAATTTAATTTATAAGGCCACAATTTTTAATTTATTATTTTCAATTAAATTAAATTTATAATTTATAATTTAACAACACTAAAAAAATTTAATTTATAAGGCCACAATTTTTAATTTATTATTTTCAATTAAATTAAATTTATAATTTATAATTTAACAACACTAAAAAAATTTAATTTATAAGGCCACAATTTTTAATTTATTATTTTCAATTAAATTAAATTTATAATATACATATATATATATATATATATATTATATTAGAGTTTGTGTTTATGTTAAAGATGTGGGTTATATAATAAAATATTTGTATATCATGTGGCTATCAATTATCATTTTCTTTAATTTTGGACATAAGTTAATTTTTAGAATAGATTGAAAAAAACTTGAACATAAAAAATCAAAATGGAAAAAAAAAGAAAAAACACAAACACAAACTTTAAAAGTCAAATAAAAAAAATAATCAAATATAAAGCAACAAATTGTAATTTATCCTTTAGCTTCGTTTGGGATGTGGTTTAATTTTTCAGCTTTTTAATTTTTTTAGCTATTTTAGCTTGGAGCTAAAAAATCTTGTTTGGAATGATTTTTTTTTGTTGACTTTTATGAAAAAAAATAAAATAATTATAGTTTAAACGTGACATTTTTTAACCTAAAACTAAAAAGTCTATTTTATTTTATTTTTTTGGCTATTTTAATCTCAACCCACCCCAACCTATCATGCCAAACCAATGCAAATATACCTATCGGTGTGTTTGTTTAAATGGATTGAATAAGAGGGGGTTAGAATCCATCGGATTGCAATCTTACTATTCATAATCCTGGGACTATTGGCTGGATAGAATATGTACTCCCTGTTTGTTTAGTCATAAGATTAGATGTCAGGAAAGAACTATTTGATCGGATAGGATATGAATCTGTTGTTTGAGATATTATGAAGAAGGATAAATGCTTAAATGACTATTTTACCCTTTTCAATTATTTATTAAGTAATAGCAATATTAAACATATCTTTAATATTTTAATTATTTTTAACTAGATTAAATAAAAATATATTTTATTTTATTTTTTACACAATTAAATAAATTTCTTTTTTTTTAAATTAAATAAATTAAAATTAATAAAAACATCTATTAAAATTTAAATAACAAAATTAAATAAAATATAAACAAAATTTTAAAATAAAATATCTATAAAAAATTATTTTAAAAAATTAAATAAATAAAACATTAATAAAAAGTTAAATAAAATTATTTTATTTTTAAATTGAGACATTTAAATTTTATTGAATTTTATTAAATATGATACATAATTAAATAGTAGAGGGTCAAAATGGTTATTTTCGCATATAATCCAAACAGTGATTAGTCCCCCACTTTCTATCCCATCTCCCCAGGACAGGATAGTCCCCCATATGGGGGACATGGAGTCCGGCCGGACTAAAAAAAAATTAAACGGCGGATAAGGTGCACTATTTGGATTACAATCCAAATAGTGGATAGTCCCCCCTCCTAATCCCCCCAATCAAACACACCCTAATAGTCCAATCCCACCCCCAATCCTTCAAAACAAACACACCCTAAGGCCCCGTTTGTTTAGGATTATAGGGAAGGGATTGAAATTACTAATCCCTTGGTATTACTAATGGGGTGTTTGTTTTGAGAGATGGAGAGGGGACTATTAATCCCTTGGTATTAGTAGTTCCCTTGGAAAGGGGATTGGTAAGGAAGAGATAGAGATGATATTAGAAAAATAGTGAGGGGATTAGAAATTTTTTTATTATTTTTATTTTTTATATATTGAATTTTTTTTTTAAATATTAATGTTTAATTTTTTATTTTTTATTTTTTGTTTTATTATTTTATATAAAAATAATTTAACAATTTCTCATTATGAATCCTTTCACTATAAATCTCCTCTATTCTATCTCTGAAAACAAACGGGACTAAGGGTATTCAAGGTTTGCTCTGATTACTCTTCAATTATATCCAACCTCCTTTTTTTGTTTTTGGGTGAATAATTATATCCAACCTCCATTTTGACATATACCAGACATATGCCCTGTAATGGCCTTAGGAGGTCAAGCGCTTCATAAGAATCAAGCTCATGACTTCTTGAAACACCTATAAATGCTAACCTTTGAAATTTACAATAAAGCTATTTTCTTAGCCAAACAAAAGGTGAAGATAGCTCTATCCTTCTTATTTTTTATTTTTTCATATTTGACAATTTACTATGGTCCTAACTGATATCAGTTTAAGGGATTGCCAACCTATTTCTTCAATCATTCATTTGGTCAAAACTCAAAAAGGTTGATCTGCCATTTCCCCCCCTACCCGTCAAATGAATAGAAAATTACACATGATATACTATGCTCAGGGTGGGAGATTTATTTTATTTTCTTTTCTTTTTTGGATCAGTGAGAAAGTTTAGTCATACACCAGATTGGTTAACCCACTCTAATATGATTTAAGATTGTAGAGAAGGGGGAAAAAAAAGAAGCAAATTCAACACAAATTTAAAATCCAAACACATCATAATCTGTTTCTTGTGAGAATTGGCATAAATGAATGAGCATGAAACATTGCTGAACTGTCTAGTTTAGAGCAATTGATTGTATACCAACATTCTCAAACACATCCAAAGGCTCTTATTATATAAATACATTTGATTTCGAGAGTATTTTGAAGGTCAAAATAAACTTTAATCACACATTTAATTTTTTTTTGAATTAATTATTATTATCTATTTTTGAGTTAATAGCATATATATGTTAGTTGAATCATATATGAAAGAAAAGTAAATTTCCAAAAAATTAAATGTAAATACACGCGCAAGACTTTCATAGAATGGGCTGTCTCACATTTACATTTTATTATGTAAATATTTAGATAATATTTTATATATATATATATATATATATATATAACATGCTTACTAGAAACAGTTATATTGATTACTAGATAAGCTTGATACACCTCTGTAGTTCAGAAATACATAACTTTAACCCCTCCCCCAAAAAAAGAGATTAAAACATATATGCAACCCTAAAAAGGTAAACCCTAGTTCATAGATGCTACCCATTGACTTATAATGGCTACCCCACTATTTCATTACTATGCTTTTACCCCCAAAACCCAAAAACAAAGAGGAGTTCTAGATGGGCCTTCATGATTCTCTGTTTGGGCCAGAGCATCAGGGCTTGTTGGCATTTGGGCTGGAGGTGGAGCTGAGGTTTAGATCAGGAAGAGAGCTTGGGCCACCCTTGAGCTTTGAGCTTGGGCCACCATTAGAGAGCTTGTTCTTAAGCTCAGAGAGGAGTGCTTGATTCTCTTGGTTCAGAAGCTGTGCTCTCTTCCTAAGCCTCTCATTCTCTTGGATTATGTAGCAGTTCTCCAAGTACAGCTTTGAGTTAACCTTGTCCATGGTTGTTGCAAACCCTGAAACCAAACAAGACATATCAGAACAGAGAAAGGGTATATTAAGACCAATTCTTGCTACTAAAAAAATTATAAAATAAAAGACAGTGCTAAAAAAACAAACATTCTAATTGGAAAACTAAAATAAACCCATATGATAAATACAATGCTGCAATTTAAAGACGAACTCTATGCAGCAAATATGAAAAAGATAATATTTTTTCAATGAACCCAATTTTATAAATGAAAGAGGGTAGCTAAAAACAGAGTATGTGCAGAACCAACCAAATCAATGATAGAAGGTTGAAAACAAAATTAGAAATCTCAGACTCAGTTTTCCTTGATGAGGGTATGTTGTTATTCCTCTATTTTCTTTGCACTGAATAGAAAGAATCAATGCAGGTGCTAACAAGAAGTGAAAGTGAAAAATAAGGAGAAAACAGAGTAGGTTGAACACATTTACATATATATAATTTCTCTTTTATCAGAGAGAAAGGAAAGGTGAAAAAAAGAAAACCCATTAAAAAAGGAAGTAGAAACAAATGTTGGGAGAATCAAAGAATGAAAAAAAGCATTCCATTTGAATGTTGAGTACTTGAAATTATCATACAAAATATAGAAGAAGAAGAAGAGACAGAGCACATATATGCTTGTATAAACAAATACAAAAAGCATTTTGTTAGATACAAAACAGAGAGACCAACCCCACAATCTGTTCAGTGATAGAAAAACAAGAAGAACCAAACAAGTATAAAAAACAGAGAGACAGAGAGAGAGTGGGGGCCTCTCTTGAGCTTTTCAAAAAAGATCACCTTTTGAAAGGTTGGTTAGAAGAAGAAACAGCTTTGGCCGAGGAAGCCTATGCCTTGGATGTGTAAGAAAGTTCAGAGAGTAGCAAAAGGAATAAAAAAGAGAGGAGACTTGGAAGGAGAGAAGTTTAGTGAGGGACAAAGAGAACTAAGAAGCCGTCATTATATAGTGGAAAAAAGTTGGAGAGAGAAGGTAGGGATGGATGTGTTGCGGAAGAAATCAATTCTGGTATAAATACAGAATTTAATTATCGTGTTTGAAATTAAGATATATATCTAAGGAATAAATTCTTTAAATTTATTAATAGATTGAATTTTATTTAGTGGGCAAATTACATTTATAGTATATATTATGTTAATTTGGTCCTTAGAATTATACTTGTATCAATTTTATTTTAAAGTTTTTCCAATTTAGTCAAATTAATTATGTCTATTTAGAAATTGAATTATCAAAAGGCAAAATAATTTATTAACCCTTTCCAAATTGATCAAAGGTTGATATTCAATTTCAAATACTTAGTATTTGAAATGATCTAAATAAGTATATTTTTTTACTTTTAAAAAAAAAATGAAATATGAATTGAATTTAAAATGATGTGATAGAGAGATTATGAGACTTAAATAAGACGATTATGTCCAAATAAGATAATGTGTTATTTTTAACAAATGCCAAATAACCATGAACCATTTTATATTTATTTTTGTTTGATTTCTTAATTAATATTATTAATTAGACTAAATTGATAAATGTAAAAAATAAAATAACAAAATTGATATAACTAAAAATACAAATACCAAATAAAAATAATAAATAAATTACAAAAATAATCAGTATAATTTATTAATTTATTTATATTTTAACGCTTAGTATTATGGGGATGAAGACATGCCAAGTAATCTGTAAATCTTCTCTCTCTTCACTGCCACAACAATCATGCATGTGTAAGCATGGAAGGCGGCTTCTCTAGGCAAGGATTTAATGTTCTTGCTTTACTATGATGATGATGATAGAGGGTTTTTGGTTCAGATTTTCTGGGTTTGGTTTGGATTTTATTTTATTTAAGTTTAATAAATTTATTTTATTTTATTTTTTAATTTTAAAATTTTGGTGTGTATATAGGAGGAGGGATGGCGTCATGTGAATGATGGGGAGTGAGGGCATTTTGGGGAATTGACAAAATGATGGGGGTGGGCTCGGCCGTCCGAAGATTCGCAATGATGGAGTGGATTGGTTCGAACCAACGCAGCCCATCATCACTTCCACACCCGCCATTCCATCGATTCTCTTTTGTTTGTTTGTCTTGTGTGTATGTGTCTCTAGATCTCTCTATAATTACATACATTTATAATTTTAATTAATTTTCTTTTAAAAAATATATATATATTTAATTTTACAATTTTAATATAATTATATTGAATTAAAAAAAATTAATTAACGTAATACTTAACTTCATTTTCATCTATAATTTGATAGTTATTTAAATAAAAAATGATGTCATCATTTAAACATTTACATAATATTTTTTTTGATTTATTTTTGTGTTTGCATACTATTTATATTAATTTTGATTCATTTAATCTTAGTAAAACTAAAGTCGATGTAATTATGTTTGTAAGGTCTGCCAAATCTCAAAGAAAATTAGTGTAATTGTTTTATTATTTTATATTATGTTTTAAACCCTTTTAAATGGGATTGATTTCTTTTTAGTCTGTGATCGGACTTGAGGGTGCTGTTGGGTTCGTATTACGGGCCCACCACAAGTCACATTTCAATAATTTGAATCGTTCAATGTGTAAAACTTGTTGAGTACTATATGTTTGTAAAAAATAATGTTGATCAGATATCGAACTATTTCATCGGAACAGATTTCTGTCAACCGTTTATTTTTTTTTTATATATAAAACTGATTTGATCACGTAACTATCGATAGCCGATCAATGTGATTTTTTACAAGTATATAGTACTTAACGAGTTCTACATATTAATGATTTAGATTATCAAAATGAGATCCGTGATGGGCTCTTACGGGCCCAACAACACCCTCCAATTCGATCATGCATTGGAGCGAAGCCAAACCCCTTTTATATCTCTTTTTTTATCACTAATTGGTGAAAAGTCCATTTTTTAGAACTTATTTATTGAAAGATCCTATGAAAATTCTCATAATCTAATAATTCTTAGAAAAATGTTTTCAACCCCCTCAAAAACCGACCCCCTCTGAGCTGGACGGCACGTGATCGGTCACATGATATACATATCCCACGCACCTTCCTCTTTCAGAATTCAAAATCCTCTGAGCGAAATATAGCTCCGCTCCTCCCCTTCACTCGGACGACAGCTCCTCAACTTCTAACTCCGACAGCTGACTCCCTCAGCTCCTTCATTTCACTCCGACTCCCTTTCACTCCGACGCCCGACGCCCGACTGTCGACTCTCTCTTTCTCTCTTTTTCCATCTCATTCGACGGGCGACTCCTCCCCTCCTCCTCACGCCGATGACAGGTCCTCTTGACGCCCTACTCTATCCTCCCGAGTCCCGACTCCCTCTATTTCCATCCCATTGACGATAAGGTAATCTGGTGTGTATATATATATATATATATCTTGCTGAAATTAGGGAAAAATTCCTTAATCTGAAAGACAACTTTTGTTGAAAGAGAAAAAATCAGATTTTCCTGAAATTAAAACAAATTTGTTCAAGATTTCCTTTCTTTTGCTTGCTGATATGTTTACTTGAGTGGGCTTTATTTTTTTTATTTTTTCTGTTCTTCTTGTTCTTTTTTATGTTAGTAATTCTTCTTTCTCATATTTTCTCTACAATCTAAAAAGAGTATGGCTATTCCTCAATCTCAAAAGAAGTATGGCTATGCCTATGGTTGTTTAGTTAGAGGATTAACCAATTTCTTCATGTGTCATTACTCTGTCTGGACTATTGGAGATCAATTACATGGCATCTTGTTTGGTGAATAAAAGACCTATTCTGAGAAGGATCTCATTTTCTTACAGTTTTATTCAATTCTCTTTTGCTTGTTAATTTAACATGCCACTAGTTTATGGAGGTAAATAGTTTATTCATCATTATATCCCCTACTCTTCAATTTTTTGTTGACATTGGCAATGAAACCTAGACAGAATTATGAAGGTGAAATTACTTGTGCTCTTATGGAATTGTATTGAGAATTTAAAGTTCAATCATGTCATACATTGAGTTTATTTTTTGCATACTCAAAATATGTTCTCTTTTCATATGGTTTCTTAATTTCTCATATTTTCTCTGCAATCTTTATTCACCAAAATAGATATATACACCAAAATTCCTCAAAATTATAATCTGAAAAGAAGAAATTTTGACAATTGTAATCTGGTGTATATAATTCTTCTTTTCTCATATTTTCTCTGCAATCTAAAAAGAGCATGGCTATTCCTCAATCTGAAAAGAAGTATGGCTATGCCTATGGCTATTTAGTTAGAGGATTAAAAGTAGATAGGTAAAATCTGAAATAGCCATAATTGAAAAAGCAGATTTTACATCATGTATAGCCAATCTTTCTTCACTTTCAGATTTTACCTATCAATCTTCCTATAAGTTGTCAATCTTACTATTAACTACTGAGATGCAAAGCCATACTGATTAGTGCATAGCCATAGGAAATTATGTATCTCATTCAGTTATCATGAGCTGAAATTATCTTTATTCACTAGTTTAATGAGGATAACTTGTTATTGCAGATGCCAAGTTCAACTGTCAACGGCAGTAGCTCAGATCGGTTGACGTACTTGAACAAAAATTGTCCTGCATGTAATAAAAAGGCCACGATTCAAATTTTTGAGACCGATCAAAACAAAAACAAGCTATTTTACTCTTGTAATGGTTGTAGTCTTTTCATTGGATGGTGTGTGCCTATGAATTCACAATGTGGATATCAAGAAATTCCAAGACAAGTAGAAAGAGAACTACTAAGATCTATGACGGAACAACTTCGAGCTATGACCGAACAACAAAGATCTATGACGGAACAACTTGGAGCTATGATAGAACAACAAAGATCTATGACGGAACAACTTGGAGCTATGACCGAACAACAAAGATCTATGACGGAACAATTTAACTTTGTTAGTGCAAAGATGCAAAAAATAGAATTTCTGATGTTTGTGTAGCTTGTAATTGGTGTGTTATTACTTATGAAGATGTAATGCTAGTTAGAAGTAGAAGTAGAAGTAGATTGAACTATGTTTTGTTGTGGAATGGAATATGTATTAGTAAGAAACAGTTGAATTATTGAATTTTTGAGTAGAATGGAAATGAATTGTTGAATTGTTATTGTTGAATGAAGATGTGGTATTGTGGAATTGTTGTGGAATGAAGATGTGTTATTGTGGAATTGTTGTAGAATGAAGATGTGAACCATGAACCAACATGAACTGTTAATGAGTTATTGTTGAAAATGAACCATGAACCAACATGAACTGAACCATGAATTGTTGAGCATGAACCATGATAGATTTTAAATAGATTTGAGCATGAACCATGACATATTTTTTTACAAACAAGTTTTTTTACAGATTTTTTTACAGATTTAAGCATGAACCATCACAGTTTGTGCATGAACCATGACAGATTTTTTTAGAGACAGGTTTTTTAACAAATTTTTTATAGATTTGAGCATGAACCATGACAGATTTTGGCAGTTTGAACCATGAACTGAAAAAATCAGATTCTGGCTAAAATACTGTCAAAATAGAAAACTAAAAAACAGATTTTCAGATTTTCAAAGACAGATTTTTAAAAATAGTTTGGCAGTTTGAACTGTGAACTGAAAAAATCAAATTTTGGCTCAAATACTGTCAAAATAGCAAACTAAAAAACATATTTTTTTTTACAGATTTCTTAAACCATGAACTATCAACAGAGATTTTGCATGAACTCCTAAAAAATCATGCTCAAACACTGTCAAAATAGCAAAATGAAACAGATTTTTTTATAGATTTTTTTAAACCATCAACTGTGAACTCAAAATGCTGAAAGACAGATTGTCAAAATAAACCATGAACTCAAACACCAATCTTGCATAACCAATAAAGTGGGACTTAATAATAACCAATCTTGCAAATTCATACACAACATGTGTTACACAT